CACTATGCTACCAGAGCTCCTAAGAGATCCTATTAGAGAGATGCAAATCAAAACTACAATGAGATACCACTCACCCCTGCAAAAATAGCACTGATCAAAAAACAAACAAACAAACAGAAAACAACAAATGCTAATGAGGTTGTGGGGATGTTGAAACTCTTATACACTGCTGATGGGATTAGGAAATGGTGCCACCACTACGGAAAATGGTATGTCATTTCCTGAAAAAGCTAGAAATATGACTCTCTTATGATCCAGCAATCCCAGTACTGGGTATATAGCCTAGAGAAATAAGAGCAGTGATACAAATAGACATATGCACACCAACGTTCATTGCAGCACTATTCACAATAGGAAAAAGATGGAAGCAATCTAAGTGTCCATCAACAGATGAAGAGATAAAGAAAGTATGGTACATACATACAGTGGAGTATTACACAATGCTAAGTCCGCAAAACATCTAATAATTTGGATGAAACTGGAGGACATTATGCTGAGTGAAATAAATCAATCAAAAAATGACAGATCGTGTATGATACCACTTTTATAAAAGTCAAGAATAGGTTTATATACAGAAAGCAATATTCCTTGATGTTTACCAGGGGATAGCAGGGAGTAGGAGGAGGAATCACTCAGTAGTAGACATGTGTTAAATTCTGGTGAAGAATATGGGGGAATTCAGCATGATGTAACCAAGATAAATGAAGACCCAGAGAGGTACGCAAGAATAAAGGACAATTATGGTAAATGTTATAACATATACAACTCTACAACATTAGTAGCAGTCAAGAATTTGTGAGTGGCTACATAGGTAGCTATGTATGCTATACAGGCAGTCCCCAGGTTATGAATGTCTGACTTATAGACAAGCCCTACTTGTCCTTTAATGCAAAGCTTTGAACTGGTTGTGTCATGGCCAATGAAGCATGTGGAAACAGGAACAGACCAGAATTTTTATAATTAGGGTGGTTTATCATGGTAAGTGGAACAGGAAAAGTTATGAGTCAAAGCCCTGGCATGGAACACTAAGAAGAGGCGTAGTGAGCCCTTTCAGGAGCCTGTTGCATGGGATTGGTTAATGGGCAGGACTGTGCAAAGGCACATACATTCAAAGTGGTGCAGTCAGCCACCATCTTTGAGTGGAGTGCTACCATATTTGAGCAGGGTGTTGCTGTCTTTGAAGTCCTGCTTTGAAAACTCACTGACGTCAAGTTGGATCTGACTCATAGTGACCCCTCCTTGTGTTTCTGAGGTGGTATCACCACGGAAGTAGATTACCCAATCTTCCTTCTAAGGAGTAGCTAGTGGGTTTGAACCTCCAGCCTTCTGCTTAGCAGTCAAATGCCTTAGGCACTACACCACAAGAGTCCTGCTTTAATATTATGTAAATTTGCCCTGACTTTGAAATGATTGAACAAACAACTACTGGCAACAACTTCTTCATCACAATTACCTTCACTTTCTGCATAGGCAACTTATAAATCATTGAAAAGGCTTCCAGCCTTTTCTTGCACTAAACTAAGGCTAAATAAGAACAATATGCACTGGTTCTGACTGACCTACAAATTCTTAAGACACAGGAATAGATCTGCCTGTGTAAGTGTGGGAGGGTATAGTGGAGTACATGAACATGCATATATAGGTATGCTATTGTTGTTAGGTGCTGACAAGTCGCCTCTGACTGTAGCCTATATTTAGGTATAGTGGAGAGCATTTGTATATACATTTTTGTATGTACTTCATATTATATAGGAGCTCTGGTGGTGTAGTGTCTAAGGCATTTGACTGCTAACTAGAAGGCTGGCAGTTCAAATCCACCAGCCACTCCTCAGAAGGAAGGTAGGGCACAAAGGTTGCACAATTATGTAAACTTAGACATATCAAAACACCCTGTGGGGCTGAGCTATTGCATTTGAAGGCTAAGAATTATAGTCTCAGGAGATCTCTAGGTCAATTGGCATAATGTATTTCATAAAGATAATGTTCTATATCCTAGTTTGGTGAGTAGCATCTGGGGTCTTAAAGGCTTGCGAGTGGCCATCTAAGATATAGCTATTGATCTCTTCCAGGGCTTTGAACTGGCTCTTCCTGGTTCAGGCATGGTTGACAAAGCAACACCAGAACAGACCCTAATGTAGGGATACCAGAATGACAACTAGAATGGGAAAAATTATGGATCGAGACCTTGTTAGAAACTTAATCTCTCTCAGAAAACAAGGGCAGAGTGCACATTGCATGGCAGCATACTTTATTGCTTTAATAGTAGAGTTGAAAACAGCAGTGCCTAGCTTAAAGGCAGCAGCCAACTGTACTGCTTTGAATGTGTATTACTCTCTAAAATCCTGGCAATAATCTAGTCTCCCACATCAGACTCCTGAAATGACTTACTAAGTCTCTTCTGAGTCTACCATTTCAGGGCTCTGACCTTTACTTTTTCCTTTTCCAGTTATCATTCTGGTACACCCATATTTTACAAATTTGAGTCTGTTCCAATTTTGCACGCTTTGGCCATGACTGAACCATTTCCACTCAGTTCAAAGCCCTGGTCTCTTGACATCTGGATCAATGGAGGGTGAAGGAAACCAAAGATTTAAGGAAGTGATTAATTCACAGGACTAATGGCCCAAACAAACGACAGCCTCCTCTAACCTGAGTCTAGAAGGACTAGATGGTGCCCACTACTACTACCAAGCACTCTGACCAATAGAAGGGACACAATAGAAGATCTAGTTAGGATGTGAGAAAACTGTAGAACAAAACTCAAATTCGTAAAAAGACTAGACTTACTGGACTGATGGAGACTGGAGGAACTCCTGAGACTATTACCCTAAGACAGTCTTTTAACGTGGAACTGAAGCCACTCCTGGAGGTCACCTTCCAGGCAAATAATTGATTGGTCTATAAAATAAACAAGAACACCCATGAGAAATGTGTTCCTTAGAACAATCAACTATGCGAGACCAAACAGGCAACACTGGCCCAAAAACAGCGATCAGAATATAAGGAGGGACAGGGAAACTGAAGAGATGGAAACAGAGAAGAAGGCAGGGTGGAAATGAGGAGAGTGCTGATGCATTGTAGGGATAGAAACCAACGTCCTGCAATTTATTGTATGGTAATAGGTAATAGTGGGATGTAATTCATTGTATGGTAACACAATAAGAATAATTGTAGTTTCTTAAAGATATATATTTTTTGGTTATATTTTCTAAGTTTTTCAGAATACCTGGATACTACTTTGAAAATCAGGAAATAATTATTAAAGAAAAGTAAACTATGTGGTTGAATTCCAAAAGTGAGGTTGGGAAAATTTTAATAGGCTTTATGCTACTTCCAGTCCATCTGGGGAACATTTAGGATTGTACTATTTGTTGTTGTTGTTAGTGCTGTTGAGTCAGCCCAGACTCAGAGGGACCCCTCCTTGGGTTTCTGAGGCAGTGTCACTATGGAAGTAGATTGCCTAACCTTCCTTCCGAGGAGTGGCACACTAGGTAAAGTCCCACCCAGCTTATCACATTTACTTCTTACTACAACCCTGAAGAGGGAGGTACAATAATTACCCTTATTCTACAGATGAGCAAACTCTTCAGAGAAGTAATTTGATCAAGTTTACAGAATATAGTGGATTTAGGATTTGATATTGGGTTTGTTTCTTAAGTCAATAATTAGGAACACAGCCTGCTGACTGGTCAAAATATAGTTGGACCTTATTTGTGTTGTAACTGGATCTAGAGAGAAAGTATGCCTATGATAAGATGCACTTAACAGTATTGTCTTTTTCTTATCTGGCATCTTGTGAAAGATCAAGATTGAGATATTGGCATTTGCTTTGTGAATGGCCAGTATAGTGAGAACTAGCTTTGTAACTTAACTTATAGTGGTTGTTTCTCAGGGTTCTGAAAGAAATGAGGGTTGTGAAAACAAAGTGTAGTAAGCAACAAAGTAAGTAGAAATAAAGAGCCCAGAACATGCCCTGAACCAGTAAAAATATTTGCACCTCACATTACACACCCTTGATAGTTACCTCTCCATTCCAAACCAACCTGCATCTAAATGTTAATTTATCTTCTGAAGCACCTCTTTCATGGCTTCATTTCCATATGTAAGAACCTATAAAGACTCCCATTACAAACTGGAGACAAATAAAACTGCTTAATCCAACCCCAAAGTCATTTCTTCCCCTTCTTCTATTCTTCTTTTTCTTTTTCCATGACATTTATTTCATTTTCTGCAACTAAAATAAAACAAAACAAAAAAACAATAAAATATACAGGTAGATAGTAGAAAAATTATTACCAAATTCTTTAAGCAAAGACAACGATTTCAGACATTTGTGTTTCCTTTAGGTTTTGTTTGCTTGTTTGTTTTCAAGTGTTGTGTTGTTACTGAACTTTTCTTGTGTGTATATCTTTTCTTTCCATCCTGAGTCCTAGGGCAGTATTCTTGGGTCCCTCCTCCACAATGCCTCTCAGGAGGACTACCAACAGAGCAGGCACAGCAAATAATTAGTGATTGAGTTAATATTTTAATGACCTAAACTGATAAGCTTATAAATTTAGTTATTGCTATACACTGTTAAAGAGAAAATGTAGAATAGTCCTTATTGCTATTGTGTAACTCTGGAAATTTTTCATTGGTAGGTGCAGGACTATTTCTTTGGAAACTGGAGCTCAGAATATTCAGATGTGTGTCACTATGCTCCAGTTATCTTTCACCGCTGAGCAACTGATCCAGATGTTTACCTTCCCATTAGCCTACGCACTTTTTCAACTGGTGGATGGATTTCTCATTATTGCAGGTGGGTGGAGCCCTCATTCAGAAGACTTGACTGAACATTGGTCAACCCAACTTACTCCTTTTTTAATCCAAACTCGTGTGTGTCAACCTGACATTTCTGGGGAACATAAAGTACATAAACAGGATCATTTTCCCCAACTAGGAGTTTCAAAGACAAATATAAAAACCCTGAAGGTGAGGTTATAAAACAAATAATGCTCCACAAAAAGTAATATACCATCAAAACTTCAGAACTTGATAAGACAGTCTCCATGAGTAATCATCGATCTCAAAAATGGCATTTACCAAACATCAATGTTTGCTCTTTGGAATGTTTCATCAAGACCTTTCAATCTTCCCAAATGCTATCTTATTTCACAATATTTCTATAAGTAAGACTTGTGCTGAATGACTGAGAAATATTTTTCAAATACGAAATGCAATATAGCTACGTTTATCCATACAGTCAAATACACATTTTGGAGTTCAGTCTTTATGAGAGTTCACAGAAGGCAAATTATTTATTTATTTGGGGCCATTGTAAATTGTTACTGTTGTCAGGGAAAAGGCTCTGAACAAGGGTAGATGGATACTGATATAACAATCGATAAAAGGAATACTGGAGAATGCTTGGCTTGGGGTCTAATTTTCCCACAAGACAATAGAAGTCCTATCAGGAAAACTCTTGGTCTTAGATCCAAGTTTTAATTCTTTCTCATGGTGAGACTGTGGAGGAAGGAACATGTGTATCTCATTCCCAGCTACATAGCAGTTCCCAGGACCCTGATATGCCAAGCATTCCACAAGGATTTGCTGACTGATTGAGTGACTGACTGAATGACTGATTGAATGAATGAATAAATGAATAAAGCTGTCAGTGACCTAGGAATGAGTCTCAATCACAAATGGTCCATTCCAGATAGAAATAAGCCATTCTGAAACATCAAATCATTCAGTTCCTCAGTTTTTCTCTTTTCCCATTATTTTCTCCTTATGTTTATGCATATATGACTCAAACCTTCCAAACTATGAACACTTACATAATAAAATTACAGTTTTTGCTGAAGAGATACTTAATAATAAAATCATAGTTTTTGCTAAAGTGCTGCTTAAATAATTATATGTTTTCACATCTAGCATATCAGACATACAAGAGGAGACTGAAAAACAAACATAGAAATAAGAACCCTGGTTGTACAGAAACTTGCCAAGAGAAGACAGCCACTTCTAAAGAGACCAGTGCTTTCCTGGAGGTGAATGAAGAAACCACCACAACTCCTGGGCCACCAGGGGCAGTGGAGATCCACAAGGCTCCGGAGTGAGCCGACGACTTCTCTTCATGTGACTAGTAGGGACTTTCTGGCCTGACTGGTACCTTGTCTTCTTCAGAGGCCAGGGAAGACCGTGCAGAAGGGATGCACGAATCTTATTAGCAGGGCCTGTGTGGATATATAAGTATCAGTATTGTGTTGTTAGGATATTTATATTTTCATGTGGATGTAAATTGTGATAGGATCCCTTCTTGAAAATGTACTTCACACCTTTCCAGGGAGTTCTTTTGGAACGTTTATACAACATATTCATGAGCTGCTGTGTCTGTTCTTGTCTTCCCATGCACTAAATCATGCCTGGCAATAGGTAATATCCATTGTCATGTGAAGTCATCTTCATATTGTTGATTTTAATCTGATAAGAGTTTTTTTTGTGCAGACATGTCACCTCTTACTGCAAGACAAGGACAGAGTCTGGTTCCATGTGATGGACTTTACATGCCCTCTGGAGCACTGGGAAGGGAACATACAACTCTAATCTTACATGAAACCCTTTGCCCAAATAATTGTTCTTTTTTAAGGACTTCACAGGTGTTTTTTAAATTATAACTATGATACATACATGGAGGGATTTAAAGAACACATGAGTTATCAGGTTGCTGTGAGTCAGAATTGACTAGATGGCAATGGGTTTGCTTTTTTGGTTTTATATGTGTGTATATTATTTTATAAAAACTGAGATCATTCCATGTGTACTATTTTCAAAGTTACTTCATCACATGTTATGGAACATCTTTCCATATCAGTATGCATTGACCTACCTCATGCTTTAGTACACTGGCGATTTAGAAGTTTCTATAGCATGGAAGTACTGTAATTTATTTAACCAATACTTAGTCGTGGACACATAGGTAACTTTCAATTTATCGGTATTACAATGCTGCTACAAACACTCTTGCACTTGTACAGGAATTTCTGTAGAATCACCTCTTAAGAGTAGTATTGCTGGGCCAAATGCACATGGAAATGTTGGACAGGTTGCTATCCAACAATGCTGAACAGCAGTGCATAAGACAGTCTAGCTTTCAACAGTTCCCACCAGTCTAAAGAATTGTCAACTCTCTCAATGTTTGTAATTCTGACTTGTGAAAACACCTCTAAAGATTACATTTTAAAAATTATTAGTGAGATTGAGTATTTTTCATATCACGTGCCTACTTATGCCTTTTACTTGCTTTTCTGTTTTTTCCATTTTTATTTATAGATTTTACCACATTATGGATAGTGATCCTCTGCCCTATGTTTCATTAACATCTTACCTACCCTGTCTTTTACCTTTTGTTTATCTGTGCAGAAGTTTTATATTTTTTACATATTCAGCTTTATTAGTCTTTGTGAAAATGTTTTTTTTATCTTGAAATCTGTTAAATGTTAAATTTATATTCTGTGTATATTGTGAATTGTGCCAGGATTCCTTTTGAAAATGTATTTAACACCTTTTGGGGGTTTATACAACATGTTTACTAGCTGCTTTGTATAGTTCTTGTCTTCCCATAAAGCAAATAATGCTTGGAGTAGATAAGACCTATCTTTACTCTCTGTTCTGATATTATTTTAAAAGATAATAGTAATTTCCCATGTATTTTTCTAGTATTTTAGGGGAGTAAATATATACATGTTTAATCTATTTTGAATTTATTTTTTCATATAGTGTGCTAAGAACCGAATATTTTAATGATTAATTAGTTATCTCAGGACCTCTTGTGGGGCTGTGTATTTAAAACATCGGTCTGCTAACCAAAAGGCCAGTGGTTTGAACCACCAGCCAGATGAGGTAGTCTGCTTCTGTAAGGATTTACAGCCTTAGAAAGCCTATGGAGCAGTTCTAGTCTGTCCTATAAGATTGCTATGAGTCAGAATTGACTTGAGCAGTGGGTATTTTGGTTACCTACTGCTGCTGTGACAGGAATAGACCACAAATGGGAATGGCTTGAACGAACAGGAATGTATTTTCTTACAATTTTGGAGGCTAGCAGTCCGAGTTCAAAGTGCCAGGCTCTATGGGCTGGGTGAAAGCCCCTCGCCCTTGGGGTCCAACTCTGCTTCCTGCTTCCGGCCCACAGAAGCTGGTGGCTTTTCTTCAGGCAGCTAGTGGCTGCTGAGGCTGAAAAACCCAAGGTTGACAAGAAAAAAGTCACAGTCCCAATGTTACCGAACAACATGGTAGGCTACTATTCAAATCCAGAAGAAGTCCTAAGATTGACAGGGCATGGCAGGCTGTTGAACAATGACTTGGCTACATGCAAGGTTCAAGCATGCCAAAAACCTTTCTCAAAGTTGCTTCTTATATACTGGAAGCAGACCACATCTCTAAAGCAGCTACTGAGCTGCTCCAGTAGATTCCACCATGGAGTTAATTGCCAATCTTACCATGGGGAATAACTACATCCAGCTGCCCAGTCACTCAACCAGGCCCAGCCAAGTTGACATACAACCTTAATGACCATAGTGGGTAATTAATTACCCCAGTGTCATATATTGAATACATCATCTTTTCTCTACTGATTTGAAATGATACCTTTTCCATGTAAATTCTCATATGATAAATTTTTGTTGGGACTCTATTTAGTTCCATTGTTCCATTTTTTGTAAGTTTTGAAATGTATGAGAAAGCACATTGTCTGATGTGTGTGAAAGTGCGAGTACATTTTTATTTTGTAAATATTCCCAAGAACTTTTAGGTTAATATAAAAAGGATGAGTATTTTATGATGTTTTCACTACAATTAAGAAAGCAGTTGTGGTAGCACAGAAAAAGCCTCACTAGTGTTGGAATCACAGAACTTTTTATACAGACAAGAACAGTGCAGATTTGTGACATGATTGTTAGTTTTCAACTGTTGCTTTACTATTCGGGGATTTCAATATATGCGTTTGATAAGTGTTTCTTTATTAAGAAACTAGTCTGTGCTATATTTAGGCACATGAGACCTGCAATAGCAGCAAAGTAGACAGGGTTCCTGCTCTTAAAGAGTTTATTAGGGAATCGATCGCTGTAATGAATGTGGTCAGTAGAGTTGTGAATTAATAGATTCCCAGGCCTAAAAGGGACATAATATGAGTTTTCAAGTAATCCACTGAAAGTGAAAGAAAAAAAAATCCACATAAAGTGAATTTCTAAATTGTTTCTTTACTTAGGCATTTAACACAAAATGGTAAAATTCAACTCTCTGCTTAAAAACGATTACCTATTGTTGGTATTTACCATAGTCAGATCATCTTCAGGATGAGGGGCAGGACTACAATAGGCCACCCTTTAAGAGACAAACAACAAAAATCAACGTAAAGTTTTGAAAGTGGTCAAGTCAGAAGATTTTCATCTCCAGAGATAGTTTGTAAATGTGTTATGGAAAAGGCAGATTATTGTTAGGACAAACAAGGTAACCGAAAAAACGTCTAATTGAATAGGTTGTATTCTAACTTATCTTAATAACAATGAGTTAATAAAAACTGGGGCCTATATGAAGTTCAGAAGACTTGGGGCTGCAGCAATAATGTTAAACAGAATGATTCCAGCACTGTGTCTGGAGAAGAGTCAGATGGATAGTTGAGGCAACAGAGTACAGTGGAAGGAACATTGGCTTGTATTCCACTTATGTAGCTGATAGTCTCTGGAGTTGAGAGTTGAAGTCAGCCAGATCTGCCATTGAATCCTAGCTCTACCATGTGTTATATGTACAAACTTGGGCAAGTGACAACCTCTCTGGAGCTATTTCTTCTCTTAAAAAGAATAACATATTCAATCTTTTTTTTTTTTTTGGTCTTCTTTTTATTTATTTATTTATTTTTGTGATTTGGGTGAAGATTTACAGAGCAAATTCACTTGCCATACAGCAGTTCACATATACTTTGTCTCATG